TGTCCTTTTGCAGCCACCAAGGGCGGGAAATCTAGACTCCTGTGATACTTCCTTGAACAGAAAGTTAGCGTGCCATCAGCTGCCCACCATCCTTAAGAGAAGCCAGCGCGTCTCTCTGGCAAAGTTTCTATAGCGAATAAAGTCAACGCAAAACGTACACTGACATCCCGTGTCCCAGCAAGGCAGGCAGGTTATGAGACGAGTAAGGGCGAAGGTTGGGGGAAGAGAGGGGAGGAGGAATCCTTGATCACGCAGACGGCCATTTCCTTGGCCTTTGACCCATCGCACCCTAGGATGCCGCTCTTTGGAACTCCCTGCCCATCCTCTCCGTCACCTCTCCTCCAAGGAGAAGGTGGTTTGTGGTACAGCACACTCTACAGAGAAACAGCGGAGGCCGCACAAGTCAGTTAGAGTTAAGAAGTTTACACCCAGCGCTTCTACTCAAGTCCAGTCTTAGCTTTTCTTATGCCCCAAGTAGCCCGCTTGTGTCCACAGCAGTCGAGTATTATCCAGTGAAGACACCAATAACATTAGCAATGTTAAAAAAAATAATCAGTATATATATATATATAAAATATATATATGTGTGTGTGTGGTTAAGATATACATATATGTATATATAGATGTGGTTAAAATACATATACATATATATATATGTATATGCATGTATACACACATATATATGTATGCATGGGAAAACCCATCAAATACACCCCTATAGTCTTCCTGGCTCTGTTATTTAGCAGCATGAAAAGAAAAATAAAATAAAACAGTTCAAAACCCAAAGGTGAATTCTGTGCGGCGGGTGCCTTGGGGAATGTTCCTTCCGGAGTCCATCGTCCGTACTGAAAGTGCTGTGCTCTACCGATCCTTCATTTTTTAGGGTTCATTTGGATTAGTGTTTTGTTTTGTTTTGTTTTCTGTCCAGGCGAGAAATCAGGCTCCAGAAACAGGGCTCTTCCCCCTTCTTTTCCGCTGCTCACCGTCTCGGTTTTTCACATCTGCCAGAGAGGAGAGGGAAGGAAAAAAAGAGAGGAGGAGTTAATGTTTGAGTTGGGAGTGCAAGCAGGACAGGGAAGGGAAGGAAGGGAGGTGGCTAATGTGTTTAAGAGCACATGGTGTTAAGACATGGCATGACGTCACTGGTGGGGTGAAGTGCTGTGCAGATGGGGCAAAACAGCTGAGAATCAGAACCCGTGAAGGGAGTCAATGAATTCTACTCCCCCAGGCTCACCTAGACGGGAGATAGGGGCGGTGGGGGAGCATACTGGTACAGGGGTAAATTTAGGAGCAGAATCAGAGGCTTCGTCACAGATGAGCCAAGTGTCTGTTCGCACGCTCTCACACCATGCACACATAGATAGACACAGACACACAGAAAAACAAGGCTAAGCCAGGCATGCAGAAAGACACACTTCCTCAGCTCTCCACCTAGCCTGATGTTTGGCTCGGAAGCAGTGCAGACAACAAGGCCTCATGCAGGCAAGAAAGTGAAAAGAAAGCGCCTCTCATTCCACTAACTGCCATGAGCAGGGGTTAGCACCAGAGAACAGCAGCAGCAGTAGCCTGAAGAAGCAGCAGAAGGAATGAGAATTTGCCCTCCCCTGAAGGGCCCAATTCTAATTCAACTAGAAAGAGTATGAAGATCTCTTAGCTTAACCAGCTTTTTATCTGGAAACAGATAAGCTACCCACTCCTATGACTCCTTCCTATCTTTCTGGCCAACACACCAGCTCTGGAAATCTCCCTTAGTGCCAATTACCCCACCACAGAGAGGGACTAGTAAGAGAAAATAGTAAACTCTTTCTGCAGTCATGACTTCTTTGGGGTACTGTTTGTTTCTTTCTTTGTATTCATTACTATTTCTCACCCTTCAAACTCTGTAGGGTAACTTCCAGTTATTCTGGGGTTTGGGAATAGGAGCAGAGGGAAAAGGCCAGAGTTAGGTCTGGTCTCACACTTCAGGGGTTATGCTCTCTGGGAGAAGTTTAACTCCAGAAGCTGCGCTATTCTCGCCTCTCCATCAATTACTTTCCCACTGAAATTACAGCACCTCAGAAAATTCCTCTGTATACAGAGCAGTTTCCACCACACTGGCAGTGCCAGCGCCTCTCTAGTTTGGGCACAAAACACTTTCACACCTCAAGAAAGCACTTGCTACTTGTAGCAGCCTTAGTCACCAGCCAATTCCAGGCAGGCAAATAAACAGAGGCAAACGGACGTCTCCTCTTTCAGGAGGAGGTCCTCCTAGCCACAGAGGACCCTGGATCTCTCTCCCTTATTGTCTCCTATCCAGCCACTGCAACTGCAGTACTATCTTGACAGGAGGGATTTCCTAGATCTCTGTGAAAGGGACCTGAGCTCAGAGTCACAATCAAAGGCTCATTAGTAACCCTGTTTCTATGTCTCTCTCTGGAGAGGTAGGATGATCCCACACGAGAGGTGCACATGCAGCTGGTGCGAGTCAAGAGAATCCACTGAGTTAACCAAAGCGTTCAGGTGAGAACCAGGAATCAGTTTCTGCACACGTTTATGCCACAGATGGTGCGTGACAGAGAGCACTCAGATGGCACGTGCACAGCATGGATCTCTGAACAAACACTAAATACACAGTGTCTTTGCGTCTCACACCTGAAATACAGACCTCTGCCAGCCTTCACCTAGAGACAGACTTAATCCTGCTGTATTCCATGTCACAGCCCTGAGTGCAGTCCCTCAAACCCCAACTTTGGCCGAGACATGGACAGGGAACTGTGAGCACAGCGCAAGATGACAGGATGCTCTCCCTGGCTTTTAAGAACAAAGGCAAAGGAGAATGTGGGGACAACCTTGAGGGAGGCTCCTGGCCTGGCTTCTCTCACTCTGCACACAGCAGAGCGTCCACAAGCTGCATAAAAAGGGCTTGGAAGCCAGGGGTGGTCAAACCCGAGTCAGCTAAGGATTTGTCTTTGTCCAACAGTATGCTGAGAGTTGCATACAGATAATGTACAGAGGGCTACAGACCCTCCCCCTGGCTACCTCAGCAACATGAACTCTGTTATCTTGTTTTACGGGAAAGGATACCGTAGATACAAACACCCTGTCTCTGTGAGCCGTCCCGTCCAAGTCCTGACAGTGCATCTGAAACACACAGTCGCCCTTTGACACAGGGAAACTCTGTCCTCATCTCAGTCAGCCCCTCTGCCCTCTGGCCCACGTAGGACAGGGAAAAGAAGTAACCATATAGCACTGGTGCCAGAAGCCAGCAGGAAGCAAGCTCCCCCCTCTTTCTCTTTCTCCCTCTTTCTCTTTGTGTGTTTCTCTTTCATCCTTCAGGACACAAACCTGCAAGTGCGCTCGTTTAACTCAAGCTGCCTCGACTTGCAACGTGAGTCTGTGAATTTGCAGGAACATTTACAGGTCTGGGGATCTTGTACAAACAAGTGCTTTCTCCTCTCTGAGCAAGGCTCACAGTGACTGCAAAAAGGCAAAAGGAAAGATGTCTAAGCTACAGCGCTTCAGCAGAAAGAAAATACACATGCAACACCCTAAACATCAAAGCAATCCCCTTGCCCCCTCCCACAGCCCCCATGCTGCCCACCGGAGCGTTGCGGGCTGATGGATTTTCCAGCAGCACCCCAGCAGCCCCAGGACAGCACCCCCTTGCATTAGCGTAAAGAGAAAGAAAACAGGCTCTCTGCACAGTATTCACAAATGCTGCATTGGATCCATCGGCACAGGCCAGAGGGAAGAAGAAGGGGAAAGCAAGGATGGGAAGGTGAGAAGTCCCAGCCAGCTGTTGATGTATCAATGAAAGGAGTTCTCTGAAGTGGGCTATTCGAGTAGAAGGAGGCCAGTGGCTAAATGAGTTAAATACCCTCCCCTGGAAAGCAGCTGGGCTCCAGCATCATGTGCTTACCCCTGCAGCCTGCACTGCCCCCCTTTCTCTAAGCCCCATCCCAACCTTGCCACCTAGAAGTCTCCTATGGAGGGGCCGTGAATTTACAATGCAGAATTCTGTGAACCACCATGAGAGAGGCAGAGCAAAAGAGACAGAGAGAGAGACAGGGAGAGAGAAGCCACCAAATCCAGCAGAGAAAGAAAGAAAAAGAGAGAGAGACCCCTGCCCAGTTCCCCAGCACCCCCTCTCCGACTCCCCACCATCCCACCTCTCCTCTCCATCTGTGACTCCACCAGACACGCACACGCACGCACACATATGCACGGCAGAACCAGCTCACCAGTTGTCCCAGCAGTGAGGGCACAAGGCGAGTCGGGGAAAGCGGACGACAGAGTTGCAACCAGAAAGCATGAAAAAGAGGTGCAGGGTGCTCGCCCACCCACCCGCGTTCTCATGCCTTGGGAAAATGGTCGCCACTGATGATTAGAGAGCCAAGCAAGCTAAAGCCGCCTTCCCTGTGATAACCTTAGTGCCAGAGCGGTGCCACCACCAGCGCTGCCCCCGCAGCATCTGCAGCCCACCAGTGACTGGGAGGGGAGGGTGAGATTTGAGTGAGCGGCAAGCAGGCGGTTTGGTTTGGGGAGAGGGAGGGAAGAGAGTCTACAAGCAGAGGACACAAACGTACAAGCTGAGTGGTTTGTACCGGCCTTTCTTGCGCTTTCTCTTTTGACCCTTCCCCTTTCCTCGCTTTGATTTTCTGGAAGAAAAACAAAAAAAAAAAAAAAAAAAAGAAAAAAGGGG